CTCCTCCTCCTCCTCCTCCTCCTCCTCCTCCTCCTCCTCCCTCCTCTCCTCCCCTCCCTCCCTCCTCCTCCTCCTCCCTCCTCCCTCCCTCCCTCTCCCTGCCTCCCTCCCTCCCTCCCTCCCTCCCTCCCTCCCTCCCTCCCTCTCCTCCCTTTCCTCCCTCTCCTCCTCCCTCCTCCCTCCTCCCTCCCCCACTCCTCCCTCCTCCCTCCTCCCTCCTCCCTCCTCCCTCCTCCCTCCTCCATCCTCCTCCCTCTTCCCTCCTCCCTCCTCCTCCCTCCTCCCTGCCTATACCATATGCTGGGGAAAGAATCGGCTGTCCAACAATAGGGGTCGCCAGCCCACCGACCAGCCTTTCTGAGCCAAGCCATGCGCGCTGGACGCCAGCGGGCACGCTCGAACTGCGGGACCCAAAATTATGAGGATGTCCCAAGTGAAGCGGGCCTGGTCAACCTTCCCAGCCTACCCCGACAGATCTGGCCAACACTCCAGGCCAACCCCCTGTGGCCAACACTGGTTACACACACATCTTGTACACAAGACATGGCAGTTTGGAGGATCGACACGACTACTGAAAGAAAGAAGGCGAAGACCAACAGCAGTTCCTGCCCATTTTGACCAGGATCCGCTGTCGGCATCTCCGCGGATGTCGCCCATTCCAGACGCAAGGTTGCCTGCTCAACACCGGCCGCAATCGGTATTAGACAGCATCTGCTGTCGGGCATCGAACCTATCTATTTCGGGCGTCCAAATATACGGTGGTGATGACGCGCGCCTCGCGACTTGAAGGTGCGATATAAGTATGAGTTCGGGTTGTCGGACCCCGAAGGGGAACGCCATGAGAGCGTGGGCCCTCATCCGACAGCACACGCAAACAAAACCCCCTTCTCAGAGTTCCACCCCAGGAAATATGAAGGTCGCATAACTACGAGTGCCATCTGTCAGCTCATGTTGAAAATCAGCACGATGAAAACCCAAATGTCCAACGACATGCGTTTAGTTCAGTCCCGCGGGATTTCGATGGACGTCGGCCCATGTGGCCCGTCAACGGGCGCCCCGTCACCAACAAAAGTCTCGGCCTGAACGGATAAAATACTTCCAGGGAAACGGCCAGGATCTCTGGGGCCAGGGATTAAGAAAGCCATATCAGCAGACACCAGGAATTGGGGGCTGAAAAGGAATCGGCAGGGGCACGATGACCGACACCAAATCCTGCCCATGTTTGAGAAAACCCGCTGTCGAAGTCGCACGGGATGCCCAGCATCGCCCCCGCGCTTTCCGTCTCTCTTCCGCACGCGCCAGGGAAGCCCAGGGCAGAGATAGCACCGGGCCATGGGTGGGCCCTGCTTCCTCCCTAAGGGTGGACCTCTGGTCATCACCCCTGGCTCCCCCTCAGAAAGGCCCCCACGCTTTGCCCGCAGATCTGGCGGCCGCTTCTCTCTGCGGAAAAACACAGATTTGGGGGGCATGGAAAGCGGCACCAACGCCAACGCAGAAATTTTCCCCCACGGGGGCTAATGATCGTGAATCCCAATGCTCGCGGTCATCTCTCGGCCACCTAAAGGCCCGAACATCACACCCAGCACCAAAATCGAAACACCCACCGACACTGGCGTCGGCGCTTGGAGGCGGCCAACGGGAGAAGAACAGCGGGAACACGGGCAAATCGGCTCAAATCACTTCCCCCCGGAAAAATTAAACAAAAAGGGGGGACAAGCAACATCTCAAAATCGGCCTCTGGACCCCAACCAGGGCCCACCCGGGGTATTTTTCACCCCGGTCCCGTTTTCGACGGCACCGGGTTTGGTCCGGCGGCGGCGGCCCAGCCACAAAAGGATTGCCTCTCGCCCGCCCACGCACCTTCGCCTCGCCCGCGCGACACGAACCCGAAACCGAAATCGATGTCCCGGTAGGGGGGGTCTCCGTTTCACATCGGAGAATAACATCGAAAATCGACCGACAAAAGTTCCGACATCGATGATCAAACCGAAAATTCAAAAATCGGCAACCGCAAGAAAAGAAAAAACTCGAGAAAAGGAAGAAGCAGAAGAGAAGAAGAAGAAGAGCAGAAGAAAAAGAAGGGGGAACGGCGGCGTTGTTGTCCGGCGCCGGGAGCTCGTCGGCGGCGGGCGCGGCGCGCGCGCGGGGGGGAGGCCACCGCGCGCCATCAGGAAGTGCGCCACGCGACACCCGCTGAAGAACATCGCGCGCAACGCATCGACCAAACCCGCGGAGTCTGACCGCGAGGCGACAGCCGCGTCCTACAGGCGCGGAAAAGCAGGACTGCGGGCACTTCGTGGAGCGAGCTTATACCCATCCTGGACATCCGCCCCCACCTCTCTGTGTTCCCCCGCTGGAGCCAACCCCATGATCACCCCAACCCCCCTCAGGAGTCCCCCCGCCACTACCATCATCAGCGTCACCGACATCATCGCGTTCGTCGTCGTCTACGCCTTCGTCTTCAGCATTGCCTTCGCATTCACTTTCGTCGTCATCATCGGCACCCCCATCAGCATCATAACAACATACGCGTTCGGCCCGGGCCTCTTGAAGATGGAAGCACGGTTGAGGGCGACCTCGAGGTATTGGTGGAGGTCGGGGCGGAATGCGAAATCGAAATTGAGGTTGGGGCGCAGGTCCCACCGCCGATCCCCACTGCCGCCTCGCCGCCACCGCCGTCGCCGTCGCGGCCATTCTCAGCGACGCAGCCCCACCCGTCGCGGGGGGGGCGGGGGCGCGGCCCCCATTCCCTCGCGGCCCGCGCGCGCCACCCAAGCCTCGAACGCGCCCGCATTGCATGGGCCAAAGAAGACGTAATTGCATGTGTTGCGTATTATAAGTGGGGACCGTCACACAACGGTCGCCGAGGTCATCCCTCGTGGCGCTGTTCGACCATCGCAACCGGTTCCACCCCCTGCATGGGCCAAAAAAGACGTTGCCCGGGCCCTCGATGCCCCTGAACGCCCGGCATCGCTGGGCTCGCGCTGCGTCGCTGCAACATTACCCCCATTATCTCGGCCCCCGTCCTGCACTGGCGCACGTCGACGCCGCCGCCGCCCACTCTGACCCCCCATTCCCCCTAATCCTCGGCCCAACTTCCCCAATAGCGCCATCGCCCTCGGCCCGCGCTGACCCGCGTCAATCGCCCCGCCCCCATCCCCACCCACGCCAATTGCCTCAGTACCCCCCCCCACATGATGCCGCCCATGCATCCTCACCCTCATGCCCCCGACTCGCGCTCTCGCCCCTGCCACTGCTGCTCCTGAAACAGCCCATCAACAATGAGGTCGCGCAGGAGAGCGCCCCCCCGCGCCCTCGACCCCCCCTCCGCCCCCCGCGCGCGCGGATTCCTCGGACGCGCCCGGGCCAGCGTGAACTCGTCGGAATCCCGCCCCCCAGCGCTTTTCCCATCGGGCGTTGCACGGGAGGCCACCGTAATGCACGGGGGGGCCAGGGGGGCCGAGGACGGGGAGGGGGCAGACGGCCTCCAGGGCGCCCCCCAATTGGCCGAGAGCCCCAGGGGTTTCAGAATAGCCGAGCACTTCTAGCAACACCAGATCCCGCTCGGGCCCCCACCTGCCCACTAGACGTTGGCCCGCCCAATGACCCAGTGGAAGTGGCTCTCGGGCGCGAACCAGAGCCCGCCCCACGCGTTTCGCGCTGGCGCGTTTGCGCTGCCCCCCCGCCCTTCCGCGCGCCGCCCCCCCTCTCGCCGCCCCTGCCCCCGCCCCCGAGCAAGAAATTAAACGACGAGAAACACGGAAGGGACAAGGAGGAAACGGAAGATGGGGGCGACGTGACGAGCGGGAATGAGACAAGGGCGGACAAACGATCCCCATGACGACCCTCGCCCTCCTCACCATCGCCCCCATCCCCATACTCACCTCGGCCCCAACGCCCCACTAACTTCAACGGACACAACGGTCGAGCGAAGGGCGGTCGCGCACGAGACGCGCACGAGACGACTCGCGCAGATAAGCGGTTGCCCAGCAGACGCGCGAGCACGAGCCCAACGCACGAGCCCACACAAAACCGCACAAAACATACCGCGCAATATCTCGCACAAGGCTTCCAGGCCAATTCTTTCTGACATTAAAATATGCCCCTCATCCTCGTCAGCATCCGCACCCACCCACCCACCCACCCGCCACCCGCGCGCGCCCCGCCCGCCCCCTCCCCCCCCCCACCCACCCCGCCCACCCCATCTCCATCTGCCACACCCGCCCTCTCCATAGCCCTCCTCGCCCTCGTACCAATCCTCATGAACCTTACCCTGCCCTTCCCCACGCCGACGCGGGCTGGTGAACGGTGCTCTGCGCCGCGGAAGACGGCGAAAACCATCGCGTCGAGGATCTCCCCCGCGGCCGCGCCCCACGTACCCGCCAGCAACCCGACGAGGTAATCCCCAGGTCGGAAATTGTTTGGGAATGGGTCGGCGATGGGGATCAAGGGATGGGTTGAGGATGGGCTGAAGTTGAATGGGTTGAAGATGGATCGAGGTCCGGTCGACAATGGGGTCAAGACAGGCCGGAGATAAAGATCGGGGCGACGGGGCGAGGGTGGGCGGGTTGAGCGCGCAGCGGACACGTCGAGGAAGTAATCACCCAAGCACGAGGAACTGGAAGTGCCCCCCCCCCCCCAAAGCGCCCACTCAAGCGCGGACCCCGCCGACGCCTATTTTCAACCAATCCTCAATGTCTCGCCATTCACCATTTACTGGAGCAAGACCCGTTGCCAAAACCCACATCGCGGTTCGCCACGGCCAGCTTCTCCGCCTCGATAGCGAGAGGGACACGGCCTGCCAGGGAAACCCAATTCTGGCAGCACCAAGGGGGGTTGGACGAGGAGAGGGACAACGAGGACGCCCCTCGGCACCGACGGGACAAAGAAGATGACGGCGGCGACCTTCGGCGTTGGCCATCGTCGTCATCAGCACCATTAGCATCACCACCCCCACCACCATCGTCACTATCACCGTCGCCATCATCTTCATCGACCTCCGGCGCCGAACAGAAGGTGGTGATAGAATCAGGAGTCAAGCGACGACGCAAACGACGACTACTCTTGACGGCGACGGGGGGGCGACAACGACTCCCCTTGGCGTCGATGCGGCGCGACACCTCCTGCAACGGCTGAATCGGTGGACATGCGGCAGATCTCTGCGCCATCGCCGATCGCCTCCCCGACGGCGAGGCTCTTCCAGATGGCGCCCGTCACCCTCACCGCCGAAGCGGACGCCGCCACGCGTGCGCCAGACGAACATGTTCTGAGCCTCGCTTAAGAACGCGGTCCTCCTCATCCTTCTCCTCCCCTCCCCTCCCCCCCATCATGGCGGTCGTAGTACTAGTACACGCAGCAACGGGCGTAGGTGTAGTAGTGGCACGTTCCGTTCTTGCGGGAGTGGCGTTGTTGTCATCATGCCCCCTCAGTTGTCACCATGAAAAGCCATGAAAAGTGAGTGCGCGCGTCATCCGCCGGTGACGTTGCTGATGTTGTCCTGGGCGCTGCTGCTGCGGTAGTGGCGGTGCGTTCGTCCGTTACGATGAAGGAGGGAGATAGCGAAGGCGAGACAGAAGGATGAGCGCGAGGAGGGCTGAGGAATGAATTGCAGACACTTGCAACACTTGACTCCGCCGATGGTTGCGGAAGGAGGGCTGCGGGAGAGTTCGCGGGGAAGGGGGGTCCGATGCTCGAACGCAGTCGTAAAACTTAGGGTCTTTGGGTCTTAGGGCCTCAGGGTCATCGGATCGTGGGGCGTGTACCTATACATACATATATATATATATATATATGTAGACACGTAAAGTGCCGATACATAGGGATACATATGTAGGTATGAACATAGATAGGTAGATCGATCGGCAGTAGATCTGTAGCAATGAAGATCGATATGTAAACATATACATATGCATGTGTGGATGTCTGTACGGACGTACATATAAATATATGTATGTATATATAAATGTATATCTATGCATAGAGAGAGAAGAAGAAGAAGAAGAAGAAGAAGAAGAAGAAGAAATGTGTGGTAGGATAAACACATATAGGGGCATCGGTGGATATGGAGAGATTCAGAAGCAAAAACAGCTGCAGGTGCATGCATCGTTACCAAGATGATCACATGTCATATGAATACCGAAGTATGCATACATATAACGGTACCTAGATGGAAATAACTTACAGATGCGTATGAATAGAATGGTTCAAATTTAACTGTATATAAGTCGGTAGGTAGGTCGACCGAGAAGTGCATACATCCATCCAGATGGTCAGAAAGAGAATATACAGATGGACGGTCAAATGGACAGATAGATGCAGTTATACACTTCCCCACAGCTAGAGATGCCTATGTATGCATGCATGGATATTCACAGTTGCGCGTATGGCGAATTGTCTAGATCTACACATGGATACATAGCTATACTTACAGACATCGATTACATATACGCCAAATCTCTATATATAAATACACATATACATATATAAAAACGTGTGTACGTAAATGTATGCGTGTACGTACGAATGAGAATGTAAATATGTGTGTATATACATATGTATATGTATGTGTAAAAAATGTGCATGTATACAGAGAGCTAGACATGTAAATACAAAGAGCGATGTGTACATTGGCATATCGATGGGTAGATACAATGATATCTATGTATAGAGAGAGATGTACCTATGTATAGCTAGGTGTGCAGATATGCGTGCATATGTGAACGGCACTATCCATATGTGTATATATATATGTATACATCGAATGCAGAAACCTGTACAGGAGGATGAGGAGGATCGAGATAAGGAAAAAGAGAAGGCAGAAAGGGGATGGAGGAGAGGCACAGAGAAACCGACGGCCCCAGGGTCCGAAAACGGCCCCCAAAAACACGCCCCCAGAACGCAGAACCTCAAGCCTCTTTGTCCCCATCCTGCCCGCCAGAACCAGTGCTGGGCCACCTCAGAGCCCCAGCCGACCCCGAGCTGGTGCCGACCTCTCTCGGCCTCCGATGGTTGTCTCGATTCCATTTGCGACGCGGTGGTTCCTCCGATGGCTGTCTCGATTCCCTTTGCGAAGCAAGGGTTTATCCATATCCACCGCCTGGGAACCGACGTCCTAGAGTCCCGACGGGCGGTGGATATGGACATACTTTAGCCCCCGTGGGCCAAAATGTATCCATATCCACTGCCTTCGGCAATCCGCGAGAATTGATCATCCAGGCGGTGGTTATGTATAAATCCCCGCCTCGAACTCTTTGTCTCGGTGGTTCGGCCCCGCACGCCTGGCGGCTCCCCGCCCCGCGGAGGCGGCGAGAACGCGGCGGGCAGCCCCGCGAGGCGGCGGAGCAGCGTGTCGAGCACCTGCTGCCCAGCTCCCGGCAGGGGTGCACAGCACCCCCCCGCCCCCAGCCAGGATCCAGATCCAGGACTAGCCGACGGAACGCGTCTTGCTACACGCACACCTCCTCCTCCTCCTCCTCCTCCTCCTCCGCCTCCTCCTCCTCCTCCTCCTCCGCCTCCTCCGCCTCCTCTTCTTCCTCCTCCTCCTCCTCTCCTCCTCCTCCTCCTCTCCTCCTCCTCCTCCTCCTCCTCCTCCGTCCTCCTCCTCCTCCTCCTCCTCTCCTCCTCCTCCTCCTCCTCCTCCTCCTCGTCCTCCTCCTCCTCCTCCTCCCTCCCTCCCTCCCTCCCCTCCCTCCCTCCCTCCCTCCCGCCCCCCTCTCCATCCCTCCCCCCCCCCCTCCCCTCCCTCCCTCCCTCCCCTCCCCCTCCCCCTCCCCCTCCTCCTCTCCTCCTCGTCCTCCTACTCCTCCTCCTCCTCCTCCTCCTCCTCCTCCTCCCTCCTCCTCCTCCTCCTCCTCTCTCCTCCTCCTCCTCCTCCTCCGACTCCGACTCCGACTACCGACTCCGACTCCGACTCCGACTCCGATCCGACTCCGACTCCGACCCGCTCCGACTCCGACTCCGACTCCGACCCTCCTCCTCCTCCTCCGCCTCCTCCTTTCTCCTCCTCCACCTCCTCCTCCTCCGCTCCTCCCGCGCCCCTTCTCTCACTCGTTCCATCCATTCCTCCTCATGTATTATCATCATCCTCCTCCTCTCCTCCTCCTCCTCCTCCTCCTCCTCCCTCCTCCTCCTCCTCCTCCTCCTCCTCCTCCTCCTCCTCCTCCATAGTCTGCATCCTCTTCACTACGGTCCATGGGGTCCTGGCCGGGGGCGAGGATGGTTTGTTGACATCCAGGAACCCCTAAAAAACACCCCCATCCCAAGCCAGGAGACAGCTCGAGAAACAACTCTTGGGAAGTTTTCGTGCGAAAAAATTAGCGGCTGGTCAGCCGAGTGAGGGGCCAGTGAGCCGGATTTGGCCAGGTGTGGTCCGGGATGAATCCACATCAAACAGGAGTAAGCCGGACTGAATGGAACCATGCCGGATTAAGCCAGTTTTCGACCACGGATGCACCAGCGACGATGCTGACCCTACCCCCCCGACAGTTGCATCGCAACGGAACCCTTCGTCCTTCTTGAACCTCTTTAGGAAGATTCCCGCCGCAACGGCTGAGGTTCCCCTCGAATTTCTCGCCGGAAAGCTCCCTAGGACAAGTCCGAGACTCGACCTCTGACCCCCAAACACTAGGACGAAGCCAGGACGAGGATAAATTCGGATGTGATTCCATCGAGACTCTCTGGGCTCCGCCAGCTCGGGAGGATGCACCCGACGCCGCGGCCCTTTTCAGAGGGTCCCGAAACGCTCTGGAACGAAATTATCCTCGTCCTAGCCCCGTCCGACGAACACCCTTCTACCTCGTCGCGTCGTGGAAGAATCACGATGGACAGTCTGTCGCCGTCCTGGGCCCACGAGATCCTGGATGGGCCCCGTGGCCCGATGGAAAGACCCCGCATGAAATCCTTTTTTCGGCCGATCTGCTAGGGCTCCCAACTTCGCGCTTCGCGCTGTGCGAAGCGCGAAGCGCGAATAACTTCGCGCTCTCGCGCCGCCCCCCCAAAGGGAGAATAGGAGGACGAGGAGGAGGGGGAGGAGGAAGGAGGACGGCGAAGCGCGAAGCGCGAATCACTTCGCGCCCTCGTGGGAGCCCTTGGATCTGGAAGTAACCTTCACTGTTGTCCTCGCGATTAACGAGGCGCCCTGATTGTCTTCTCTGCGTCATTTTCATGTTCGCCCTGGCGCAGGGCCCTCACCCGCTCCCCGCGTTGCCCTTGCCTCGCCCTCCTGCTGTTTGTTTCGTCACCCACCACTTCCTCTCCTGTCTATTGCAAGAGCGCGCGCGTCGGTTTTCCTCGACGTCGTCCCCGCCTCGGCCAGCGCGGGCGCATTCTCGAATGGCCGCGTCGCGCGGCCGTTGGGAAAACCCCGCGGGCCAGGACGTCGGGGCAACCGCGCGAGCCGCTGGAGCGCGGGAGCAAGCCGTTGGGACAACCCCGCAGGCACCGAGCTAGTCACGGCCGCGCTCAGGCGGGAGGCAGCACGAAGCCAAGCTCTGCGGCGAGCCCGATTCGGCTGACGATGGGTTACCACCCCCAGCCCAAACGCAAGGGTTCCCCCCTGCGCCCGATTCGGCTGACGATGGGTTACCACCGCCAGCCCGGAGACAAGGGTTTCCCCCTGCCCCCGATTCGGCTGACGATGGGTTACCACCGCCAGCCCGGAGACAAGGGACTCCCCCTGCCCCCGCTTCGGCCGAAGACGGGCTACCACCACCGGCCCGGACGCAAGGGTTTCACCCTGCGCCCGGCCGCCGTCGTCGTCCTCACCTCCTGTTCCTCCTCTTCCTCCTCACCTGATGGGTCGGGCGAATCGCCTTCTGAAGAGCGCATCGGGAAAGGGCTCCCGCCTGAGACTTCCTCACAGTTCACTGACAGACGAGGCTCCCCGCCTGATACTTCCTCCATATTAAGGCCTCGGGAGCCCCGAAGTGACGCCAGTTACAAGGTTGCGGATGACACGCTCGGATCAAAAACCGCAGGGCAGGTGGGACGAAGCAAGGAGAATTCCCAATGGGGCCACGAGCCGTGTGAGGGGTGCACCAAAATGCGGCGGGGCCGCCATGCGAACCCTGCCTCTGGAGCCTTCGGTGGAGCCCCCCATGGGGCCACGAACCGTGTGAATGGTGCGCCAAAATGAAGCGGGGCCGCCATGCGAACCCTGCCACTGGGGCCTTCGGTGGAGCTCCCTATGGGCCACGAACCGTGTAAAGAGTGCGCTAAAATGGGGCTGGGCCGCCATGCGAACCCTGCCACTGGGGCCTTCGGTGGAGCTCCCTATGGGGCCACGAACCATGTGAGGGGTGCGCCAAAACGCGGGCCCGCCATGCGAACCCTGCCACTGGGGCCTTCGGTGGAGCCCTCTAGGGGGGCCACGAACCATGTGAGTGGTGCGCCAAAATGGGCCGGGGCCGCCATGCGAACCCTGCCACTGGGGCCATCGGTGGAGCTCCCTATGGGGCCACGGACCGTGTGAGGGGTGCGCCAAAATGGCGCGGGGCCGCCACGCGAACCCTGCCACTGGGGCCTTCGGTGGAGCTCCCTGTGGGGCCACGAACCGTGTGAGGGTGCGTCAAGATGAAGCGGGGCCGCCATGCGAACCCTGCCACTGGGGCCTTCGGAAGAGCCCTCGATGGGGCCACGAACCGTGTGAGCGGTGCGCCAAAATGGGGCGGGGCCGCCATGCGAACCCTGCCACTGGGGCCTTCGGTGGAGCTCCCTGTGAGGCCACGAACCGTGTGAGGGGTGCGCCAAAATGGCGCGGGGCCGCCATGCGAACCCTGCCACTGGGGCCTTCGGTGGAGCTCTCTATGGGGGCACGAACCGTGTGAGGGGTGCGCCAAAACGCGGGGCCGCCATGCGAACCCTGCCACTGAGGCCTTCGGTGGAGCTCCCTATGTGGCCACGAAACAGTGTACTGGGTGGGTGAGACGCAGGGAGGAAGGAGGAGGAGGCGGGAGGGAGGGAGGCACGCGGGGCGCTCTCTTCAAAACGAAGACCCAACACCACAGGATGGTTGGGAATGAAGTGCGGGCCCCATGGGGAGGGCGCTCCCGCCTGAGACTTCCTCACAGTTCACTCACAGACGAGGCTCCCGCCTCAGGAGCCCAAAAGTGACGACAGTTACAGGTTCGAGGATGACCCGCTCGGATTAAAAACATAGGGAAAGACAAGTGCGGGCCCGCCCCATAGGGAGGGGGCTCCCGCACAGATCACTCACAGACGAGGTTCCCCGCCTGATACTTCCTCCATGTTCAGGCCTCGGGAGCCCCAAAGTGACGACAATTACAAGTTCGACGATGACCCGCTCGGATTAAAAACATTATTCTGGCGAAGGACCCAAGGCATGTGGGACGAAGCAAGGGGAAGTCCCAATGGGGCCACGAACCGTGTGAGGGGTGCGCCAAAATAGGGCGGGGCCGCCATGCGAACCCTGCCACCGGGGCGGTGGAGCCCCCCATGGGGCCACGAACCGTGTGAGGGGTGCGCCAAAATGGCGCGGGGCCGCCATGCGAACCCTGCCACTGAGGCCTTCGGTGGAGCTCCCTGTGGGGCCACGAACCGAGTAAAGGGTGCGCCAAAATGCGGCGGGGCCGCCATGCGAACCCTGCCAGTGGGGCCTTCGGTGGAGCTCCCTGTGGGGCCATCAACCGTGCGAAGGGTGCGCCACAATCGCCACAATAGGGCGGAGCCGCCATGCGAACCCTGCCTCTGGGGCCTTCGGTGGAGCTCCCTATGGGGCCACGAACCGTGTGAGAGGGGTGCGCCAAAATGGCGCGGGGCCGCCACGCGAACCCTGCCACTGGGGCCTTCGGTGGAGCTCCCTGTGAGGCCACGAACCGTGTGAGGGGTGCGCCAAAATGAAGCGGGGCCGCCATGCGAACCCTGCCACTGGGGCCTTCGGTGGAGCTCCCTATGGGCCACGAACCGTGTAAAGAGTGCGCCAAAATGGGGCTGGGCCGCCATGCGAACCCTGCCACTGGGGCCTTCGGTGGAGCTCCCTATGGGGCCACGAACCATGTGAGGGGTGCGCCAAAACGCGGGCCCGCCATGCGAACCCTGCCACTGGGGCCTTCGGTGGAGCTCCCTGTGGGGCCACGAACCGTGTGAGGGGGCGCCAAAATAGGGCGGGGCCGCCATGCGACAATGCCACTGGGGCCTTCGGTGGAGCTCCCTGTTGGGCCACGAACCGTGTGAGGTGCGCCAAAACGGCGCGGGACCGCCATGCAAACCCTGCCACTGGGGCCTTCGGTGGAGCTCCCTATGGGGGCACGAACCGTGCGAGGGGTGCGCCAAAATGGCGCGGGGCCGCCATGCGAACCCTGCCACTGGGGCCTTCGGTGGAGCTCCCTATGGGGGCACGAACCGTGTGAGGGGTGCGCCAAAATGGGCCGGGGCCGCCATGCGAACCCTGCCACTGGGGCCTTCGGTGGAGCTCCCTTGGGGCCACGAACGTGTGAGAGGGTGCGCCAAAATGCGGGGCCGCCATGCGAACCCTGCCTCTGGGGCCTTCGGGGAGCTCCCTGTGGGGCCGCGAACCGTGTGAGGGGTGCGCCAAAATGGGGCGGGGCCGCCATGCGAACCCTGCCACTGGGGCCTTCGGTGGAGCTCCCTATGGGCCACGAACCGTGTGAGGGGTGCGCCAAAATGGGGCGGGGCCGCCATGCGAACCCTGCCACTGGGGCCTTCGGTGGAGCCCCCTGTGGGGCCACGAACCGTGTGAGGGGTGCGCCAAAATGGGGCGGGGCCGCCACGCGAACCCTGCCACTGGGGCCTTCGGTGGAGCTCCCTATGGGGGCACGAACCGTGTGACGGGTGCGCCAAAATGGGCCGGGGCCGCCATGCGAACCCTGCCACTGGGGCCTTCGGTGGAGGTCCCTATGGGGGCACGAACCGTGTGAGGGGTGCGCCAAAAACCCTGCCACTGGGGCCTTCGGTGGAGCTCCCTGTGGGGCCACGAACTGTGTGAGAGGGGTGCGCCAAAATGCGGGGCCGCCATGCGAACCCTGCCACTGGGGCCTTCGGTGGAGCTCCCTATGGGGCCGCGAACCATGTGAGGGGTGCGCCAAAATGGGCCGGGGCCGCCATGCGAACCCTGCCACTGGGGCCTTCGGTGGAGCTCCCTATGAGGCCACGAAACGCTGCACTGGGTGGGTGAAACGCGGGGAGGAGGGAGAGGAGGGGGGGGGCGGGAGGGAGGAAGGGACGCGGGGCGCCGTCTCTTCAAAACGAAGACCCAACACCACAGGATGGTTGGGAATGAAGTGCGGGCCCCGTGGGGAGGGCGCTCCCGTCTGAGACTTCCTCACAGTTCACTCACAGACGAGGCTCCCCGCCTGATACTTCCTCCATGTTCAGGCCTCGGGAGCCCCACAGTTACGACAGTTACAGGGTTGAGGATAACCCGCTCGGATTAAAAACATGAAGTGCAGGCCCCATAGGGAGGGGGCTCCCGCCTGAGACTTCCTCGCAGTTCACTCACAGACGAGGCTCCACGCCTGATACTTCCTCCATGTTCAGGCCTCGGGAGCCCCAAAGTGACAACAGCTATAAGGTTGAGGATGACCCGCTCGGACGAAAAAACAGAAACTGCGGGCCCCATAGGGAGAGGGCTCCCGCCTGAGATTCCCCACAATTCACTCACAGACGAGGCTTGTGCCTGATACTTCCCCAATATTCAAGCTAGCGAATGAGTGGGTGAGTGAGTGAGTGAATGACTGAATGAGTGGTGATGATGATGATGAGGAGGAGGAGGAGGAGAAGAATGATGCAGATGATGAGTGAGTGGGTGGGTGAGTGTATGATCGAGTGATGGTCAAGGTGATCAAGATGGTCTGTGCGTGAGTGAATGTGAGTGTGAGTGAGTGTGTGTTCCTGTGTGTTCCTGCGCGGGGTGTCCAGAGAAAACAAGAACCCCACTTTGGATGTGGTGAAAAACAACTCGGGAGGGAAGCAACTCCTGAGCCCACACTGTGAGGGAAATGCAAAAAAAACGGGATCTGGGCAACTCCCTGGTAGGTGCAACGGGGAGACCTCTGCGGGAGACCTTAGCTTTCCACCCCTGAGAGCTCCCCTGAACACATGGGATGGCGCTTCGCATTCGTCGACCATAAGATGTCGGGCCAACCACACTGGCCGACAGGGACACTCGGGTGGGATCCCCGAGCGAAGGCCGCTCGTCAAACCCAGGGATGCCCCCGACGCGACCAACTGTCTGGCATGGGATCCGGCGTCAGCGCTCCTCGCCATGAGGGGGGTGCCCTCTGGGAGTGGAATCGCCGAAGTCGATCGCGTTGCATGCCCTGTGTGCAACTCGCGCTGCGTGTCAGGTCGTGGCCGTGGCCTGAGAAGGGGTGCGGGTCCCGAATGCGCAAAACGAAGCGCAAAACTGGGACCCTCGGTCCCCAGCCGAAACCCGCACACGGAACCCACACCCGACTTATGGCTCCCCCGAGCCTGCTTCGCGGCACGGCCCACGCTGGCATCCGTCGCAACCACGCTCAGGGCAGCGTCGGCCATCGGCTTGATCCCTTCCTGAGTATCGTTTCACCGATCCCCATCCCCAGCGGCGTGGCCTGGGCCCCACTGGCCGATTTACCCCCCTAGGTGGGGATGTAGGCCGTATCCTTCGGGTTTCGATGTGGGTATCCCCAACTGGGGGGTAATCTGGTGGAGGTCTCGAAGGGGACGGGAATGGGGATGGTGATCGGTTCAACGATGCCGGCTTCCAGGTCGGCATACTCCGTCATCCCGAACTTGTCCCCCAGCCAGGCCGCGGCGGGCTCAAGGTCCTCCGCCGGGACTTCCGGGAAGAGCTTCTGCAGCGCCGAGTGCACGGTGTCGTCGGGCAGGGGCTCTTCGCTCATGCGGCTGGCGGGCTGCGCGATCCGCCAGCCCGTCTGCCGCGGACGCGTCTGCTGATTCGGCGCTTCGACACTGGGATGAAGGGGGGGGGGAGGGGGGGAGGGGTCTGGTTCCGGACCTCTGCTCAGTGCGACTGTTTGCAGCAGTGCGTCCTCATGTGGAGGAGACTCCACCTGCCTGAAACAGGCGCCAAAAAAACACCCAAGATCTTCTCCAGGGGGGGGTGAGGGGGGGGTGCGAGGGCCCGCGCCGATCGGCAAAACAATGAACAAGAAAACGACGACAAGACGTGTGATATGTTCGGCTGTTCTGTCTTGTGGACGCGCTAAACAGCGGCCAGCGCTAACCCGGGTCAGCCAGGGCCCCAAGAGGTCCCCAAGACGCCCCTGGCGGACGTCGAGAGCGCCAGTGTGCCCAAGAGCGCCCTGAGCTGGCCCCCAAGGAGCCCCCGGGAGGTCCCAGGAGGAGGGCCTAGAAGAGGCCACCACGAGGCCCCCAAGAAACCCCAAGAGAAGAAGAAGAAGAAGAAGAAGAAGAAAAGAAGAAGAAGAAGAAGAAGACGACGAACAGGCGGAGAGACACCCCGGCACGACGCGGAGGGGCGTCACAGGTTACGGCTCTCACAGGCGACGGGCGACCTAAGAACTCCCACAAACATGGTGCCTGTTCTCCCCATCCATCTTGCCTCCCCGTAGTCCCCCTGCTATTTACCCTACTACGACGACCTGTGCAGCCCAGCTGTCATCAACTTCACCGACAAATCAGAAACGTCGGCAACGTTGCAAGCCCGCTGTTTTGTTAAGAATTGCACCTGGATGGGGGTCGCCCAGGGGCTTGTTGTACCAGAGATTACGGCTCGCCACTAGCGGTATGTTGTGTTACAACTTCAACTCCGATTCTGGATGCGGTCTGGGATTCGTGTTTGACGATTGGAGCCCAACTTAGGCACCAAAACGGGGGCCGAAGTGAAACCTGATCTGGCTTCGGAACAGACGGGATTCGAACAGGACTGCGGCTCATCGCAAGAATGCTCGTGCTTGGGCAGTCTAACAACTCTTCTGGGCCCCGTCGGGCCCATCGGTGGCCGTTCTGTTGGCCCATTACAGATGGGGCGTTGACCTAAGGAACGATAAATAAGAAGAGAGACCCTTTATTCCATGGGTTAAACTCCGATGTCCCGTCGAGGACCTAAGGAAAACCTAAGGCAAGCTGTGAAACAAATCAAGGAACATGGAGCCCAGCCCAAACGAGAAGGGTTCCTTCTTCAGTGCCCCGACTGTATGGGGGCGGTCTGCAGCCCTTCGCGGTGCCTGGTGGGCTGTTCTCGGGCCGTGTGCGGGCAATGTTGTGCCGCATTCCATACATGTCTGGCCTCATGCCACAGATAGGCAGCTGCAATCCAGACAGCCAGGCTTCCTATCACTTGTCCGTTGGTACTGACGACGGGCCTACGATCACACGATGATCTCACCATCAGTCAGCCATTCAGCATATCTGCGCCCAATTGGCGATGGGATGGAGGAGGATCGAGCGTAGAAACGGCTTGGCCATCGTCAGCTCTTCAACGACAACCAGAATAGGCGGGCGGTGAACGCAAAGCGTCATGAATCAACACGATGCCTGGAAACAGAAGTCCTCAAGGACGTCCTTCAGCCAAACGGCTGCAAGCGCTACTATTGCAGCAGAATGGCTACGACCAACGAACCGAGCCGACGCCCGAAAATCGGGTGCCGGTTCATACTGACTGAATCGATCTGGTCCACGACACGACATGAAGCGACTGAACCGAAGCGACGCTCTTTAGACGGAAAATCTCCCCAAGTAATTGTGTTTTGCTTTTAGCTCTAAGCTGAATGAAATCGCATTTCTATAGTCATTGGCATTGCCAATGATTGCGTTGATTCGCATTGCGACGCAAACAAGAAAGAAGCCCAAGAGGTCCCCAAAAGGCCCAAGAGACGACCCAACACGACCCCAAGAGGCCCCCAAGGCACCCCAAGACGACCCAAGAGGGGCGCAAGGCGGCCCGAGAGGCCCTCAAGACGGCCCAAGAAACTCCCAAAGGATCCCAAGAGGCGCGGATACGGTTCCAGCGGGCCACGAGCCTGCCCAAGGGGGGCCCAAGACGACCCAAAGTACTTCAGAGACACCCCCAGAGGCCTCCAAGACGTCCCAGGACGGCCCCAGGAAAACCCCCAAGAGGGACTCAAGAGGTCAAAGATATTGATTTTCCGCGCAAGAAACAGAAGTGCGCGTCGGCAAACGTCGACTCACACAGCTCAGTGGGTTGAACATACGAAGCAGCACTAGCAGAAATCCGGCACCGTGCCCCTGCGGCGCGAAGAGGAGTGCCCCCAGATTTTCTGCCAAACCCTTTAACCCTCAGTCCTCAATCCTGAGGATTCTGTAAGGGGCCCCGATTCAAAATTACCAGATCTCCTGGGGCGTGCTGCGTCTTCTCGCGTGGCATGTTCGGGCCCAAGAGGGCCCGAAGACGGGCCAAGAGAGCCCCAAGAGGCCCCCAAGACGGTGCCAGAGAGCTTCGGATCGCCGCACGATCTGTCCAAGATGCCCAACAGGGCCCCAAGACGGCCCAAGAGGTCTTCGAGGCACCCCAAGAGAGCCCCAAGTGCCTTCCCAAGAGGGCCCAAAGCCAAAATGATTGATTTACTCATGGTTTTCCACTGGTTTTTGTTGGGGGTCCTCGACTTTTCGAGCTTCCAACGCTCCAAGACGGCACAAGAGGCACCCAAGACCTCCCCAAGACGGCCCAAGAGGCCCCTAAGAGGACCCCCAGACAGTCAAAGAGAGCTCCAAGACGACCCCAGAGGCGCCCAGGACGGCCCAAGAGGGCCCAAAGACAGCCCCAAGAATAACCCAAGAGGGGGAATACGAACAGATAATCTGAGTTTCCGCCCTAAGAGGCCCCCAGGATGCCCAAGAAGGCGACAAGAAACCCCAAGAGGCCCCACGAGCCCCCCAAGAGGCCATCAAGACGCCCCAAGGAGGCCCCAAAACTGCTCCCGATTGGCCTCGAAACAGCCCCCGAGAGGCCCCCGAGAGGGCTGCCACGACATACTAACGAACACCCTAGAGGCATATGACCCACAACCCACTCACGGTGACAGAATAAGCCAAAAACCATTATATCTATACACACACATTATATGTATATATAAATACATATATATACATATATATGTGTGTGTGGATGGATGGACGGATGGATGAATGAATGCATGCATGCATGCATGCATGCATGGATGGATGGATGGATGGATGGATGGACGGACGGACGGATGGATGGATGGATGGATGGATTCATGGAAGAAAGGAAGGAAGGAAGGAAGGAAGGAAGGAAGGAAGGAAGGAAGGAAGGAAGGAAGGAGTGATGGATGCATGCATGCATGTGCCCGTGCATATGTATATGGACGGATGGATGCGTGTATGTATGAGTGTATGTTTGTGCGGTTGTATGACTGTGTGCATGCTTGGATGCATGCATGTGTATTAATGTATGCATGCATGTATGTATGGATGGATGGATGGATATATGTATTGTGTGTATGGATGGATGGATGGATAGATGTGTGTAGGTGTGTATGGTTGTAGGTATGTATGTGTGTATGTGTATGCATGTATGTGTGCATGAGTTGATGCATGCATGTGTGTATGCATGTATGATTGTTTGTCGACATGCATATATGTAAATATTGATGTATGTACGTATGTGTGTGAATGTGAGCATGGATATCTAGATGTGTGTGGTATAGTTGTAGGTGCGTATGTATGTATGTAGTTGTGCATGTAAAAATGTATGGCGGTATGTGCGTATGTATGTATGTGCATGAAAGTGTATGTATGTGTATACTCAGGTAGGGAGGTAGGGAGATGTGGAAAGGTGCATGTATGTATGCACGCACAGCAAACAAATGTCTGCATGTGGCACGTCCAAGGTCTCTCTGGAATGTCACGTGGACGGTCTTGGAGGCCCTGGGGGCGGGACAAACTATCAAAAACCGTGTAAAGCCGACAACTTATTATGTGATCTTCAACAAGGAAGAACTGGCTTTCCGTCATAAAAGCCCCGAGAGAGCCCCAGAAGGCCCAAGAGGCCCTCGGGAGGGAGGGGCCCAGGAGGCCCCCATCAGGAGCCCAAGAGTGGCAACCCGAACTGCCACTCGGAGCCCCCCACCCCAAAGAGTGCCCCCGAGACAGTCAGCAAGCCCCCAACACGTTGCCCAAGGGGCTCCCAGAGGGGCCCTCGAGAAGCTGAGAGGAGTCTCCCGAGAGACCCCCAAGAGACCCCAAAGAGAACCCAAAGAGGCTTCCAAGAGGCATCCAAGAAGCTCCCCAAAAGGTCCCAAGAGGCATCCAAAAGACCCATTGTTCACGACCATGCACGGTGGCGATATGGCCACATATGTACTTAGTAACACACGTACACACACGTACCTACACGTACTGAATAGAAACAGTTAGGCATAAGCACGATGGCACGAATGTGCAAACATGTAGACACATACTACACACATGCGGTACGTGTACCGACCCGACATATGTGCGAGTGCAAGCAATGTGCATATGCGTGCTCTCATGCTAAACGTGCGCGTACGAATCATGTACGTATGTTCGATGTGTACCATACTGTGATGATGTATGGCTCATGTATGTGTGTGTGTGTGCGTGTCACGACTGCTACTGATGTGGGGTGCCAGGCATACCCCAGATTTGCCACTGACGTATGTCATGTAATGCAATGTAGCATGACTGTACGTCCCGTCGCCATGTGTTGGGCCCTAGCGGCCGCGGTACAGGGCGAGCGGGCGGGGCGGAAGCTTTGCTTCAATCCAACAACCCTAACCTGTCGGGCGAGCAGGCCAGAAGAACGGCAGGACGGAGGGCTGCGAAGACAGGATGGGGGGGAGCGGACCGAATCGCCGTGGTGACACAGAGCGACTGAAAGAGACCCGAGCGCGCGCCGAACCAACCCGAGACGAGGCCCTGAAGCCAAGACTGCCCCCCCGTTTCAGACCTGCGGGTCAATCAGGACCTCCACGCAGATCTGCCGGATGCCCTCGCGCGTCGCCGGCTCCTCGGAGAGTAGAACCACGAGTGCAGGGGCGGAGGCGAAGCGGAAGGCAGAAACACGTGGGATGGACCTGACTTTCGGCAACATGTGATCTTGCTGTGCTGGTCGGTTCACATGGCCTCCAAATACTCCTGACTGTCATTGCGTCGCACTGATCCTGCGATAGCCGCCCAACGCTGTCGAGCCGTAGGGCAACATACGGAAGGTCCCCCCAACAACGAGCTTCACGCGTGGTGGCATTGTCAGCACATGCCACTCGTCAAGACAACCTCGAACAAAAATTATGTGTCGTCCAAAGCGTCAGGGTCTCATACTCGACACCGCCCGGCAACCCTCTGCCGCAAAAAAGTGCTTAGCCGCAGTGGCACCTCCTTGGGCTCCTTGGGAGGACCTCGGGAGGAGCAGGGAGGGAGGATTGAGTGCGGAAGAAGGGGGGAGACGAGCAACGAGGGACGAGGGAGGAACAAAGAACGAAGAGCGATCCGGGAAGAGGGGAGAGAGTGAGACAGAGATAGAGAGAGAGTGGGAAAAAAGGTAATCAGACAGGGAATAAAGAAGGAACAGCCAGAAAAAGAGAGAGAGAGAAAGAGACAGTCATGAGAAGTAGAAGAGAGAGAGAGAGATTAAAAAAAGGAGCAGGCAAAGAGAGAGAAGCGGGTAGCAAGAAGTAAGGGATAACGAAGAGCATGGAGGAACGAGGAGGGAGGAGAGACGAGTAACGAGGGATCAGGAAAGAGAGTGGGTGAGGGGAGAAAGGGGAGGGTAGAGGGGGGGGAGGCGGGAGGCAGAGGACAAGGAGCACGCACCAGGGGGAGGAAGAGGAAGAAGGAGAAAGGGGAGGAAAGAAGGAGATGGGGATCGCCGGGAGGGAGGAAGGCGGAGGGAGGAGGGAAGGGAGAAGGAGGAGGAGGAGGAGGAGGAGGAGGAGGAGGAGGAGGAGGAGGAGGGAGGAGGAGGAGGGAGGAGGAGGAAGGCAGAAAAACATCTCGCCACAGCCTCCCGCCGACCTGGGAGAGCAGCCCGCGCCTCGCCCGCCGAGCTCTCCGCGGACCGTCCGCCGCCCGAGGCGCCCCGGGGCGCGCCAGACCCCACGGCCAGCACCGCTCCCGGCCAGGCCCGTCCTCGGGAGCGGCCAGGAGGGGGGCGACCAAGAGGGGAGGGGGGCAAGTCATGGCCGGCGGCATGTGCGCGGCTCCTGGCGGGGGGCCAGGGACGTGGTGAAATGAGAAGAGGCGCCATGAAATCTGGGGAATTATCATGGCCCACGTCATGATATCCCCCCCCCCCTAGTCATCACCCCCTTCTTTGCCGCCCACGACATCCCCAGGCCAGGATCTGCACACGCGCGGGCTGCACGCGAAAGTTCAGTGGCAACTCACGGGAGCCTCCCGTACCAGCTTGTCGGCTCTTGCGAATCGACCCTGGTCGACGCCTCGTCGACGCCGGTCGACGCTGAATCGTCGCTGACCGACGCTAACCGACGCTAAATCGGCGATGTCTCATCGACTGCAGACGCTAATCGACGCTGATGGACGCTAAAGACGGAATTAAGAGGGTATACCAGGCTCCCATGATTTGCTACCGAACAAGAGTGACCCTGGGCAAGAATGACCTTCGGTGCTCGGCTTTGGAGGGGCCGCGGGAAGACCAACACACGAGCGCGCAAGACGCTAGCATCGCATCGCGTTCGGCGATCGAGGAACCCCGGTGGGCCCGCACCAAAGGTCACTCAGGCGAAGGGTCACTCGTACCGTGTAGCCGGATATGCCCTCCTGGCCGAGGCAGGCAGGCACATTCGCGCTGGCCCTGGGCCCAGGGCCGGCCTGGCCAGGATCGGTGCATAGGTGCACAGCTCGCGACCCCATCCGAGGCACTGGCAGGCGGAGGGCACGACGAGGAGGCAAAGATCGTCCTCTCGCCAGGAGAACTGCCTGCTGGTAAGACAGTGACCTCCAGAAGTGCGACAGGCGAACCGCTCGACGTGGCGGCGGCACGAGTGGATCTGTTGTTGCTCCTTTGCTGGTTGGGCTCGCATCAGTGCTTGCTCATTCCAGGGTGGCGGCTCAGCAAAGCCACGAGCATGGAGAGTAGCATCACATAGAGAGCGCAGCAACAAACAGGAAGCGCCGTCGTGCCATCGTCGCGGTCGGTTGCGCGCCACGCGACGGCATGCCTGCTGCTACTGCCCAGGCTACTGCAGCTAAGCGGAGGAGGAGGAGAACGAGGATGAGGGGGAGGAGCAGCAGGAGGAGGAGGAGGAGCAAGAGGAGGTGAAGGTTCAGATATGCCGATCTGAGCGAATCGTCGCATCTCGGATCCAGGTCACAGGGGTCGCACGTTCGTGGCGGAAGCAGGGCGGGGAGGGGGCACGCACGGGAGCCGAAAGAGCAGAAGGTGGGCGCCGGCGAGATCCCCCTGTCTTCCTACTACTGCGCACTCGACCTCCAGGTCCCCATCTAGGAGAACATACAGTGACATAAACAGAAACTATCTGAGGTCCGCGCGGATGTCTCTGAGTGGCGCTGGACCCCCCTCCCTGGCGCGCGGGCGCGGCGCTCGCCTAGAAAGGCTCCAAGACCAGTTCCTGGTGTCTGTTCAATGTTTCATTCTAAAACCCCCCCCCCCCCCAAAAAAAAGGCAAGGTATAGGCATGCGCTGTCGGAGCTCCGCGCGGACTTCTCGGACCGGCGCGGAGAGCGCGCCAGGGGCAGCGCCAGAGGCGCCGCCAGCGTGGTCCAGCGCCGATCTCCGAGGAAGCCGCGCGGACTGCTCCGAAACCCTGTGCTCGTGCAGCAGATGTCGCCTCCTTCGGGGAGCAGCGCGGGGCAGGAGCACGGGCCAGGGCGAACGAGCTCGAGAGGGGGCACAGGGTGGACAGGCGCGCTCGACGACTCGCAGAGTAGCTACTCTCGCAGATGTGGCCTGGATCCGCCACGAGGAGCTTACGATCCAGCACATGCAGTAGGAGCTCGACAACAAGAAACCTTCCGCGAGAAGCCCGACCCTGGAACCCCAGGACGTCCATCGATGTTTGGTGCGGGAACGTCACGCTCTCCATAGCACAACCATCGAAACCCGAGAAACCCAGGGCACCCTGTAGGCAAGCGGGGTGTTTCTTGGCGTGGGCCTCCATCGCAGAGGAAAACATGCCTTTTTCAGACGCTTGCGAGTGGCCAATCTGCAATTGGTGGCACGCACGCGGTGACGGATGGGGCGCAGGGGGGGCTCTCCTTGAGCGACTGGCCGATCATGTCCTGCAGCTGCGCTACGAGCGCCTCAACAACGACGGCGACGACGACGACGATGACGACGGCACCTCGCGCCCACAAGCGCCGCCCTGGGGCCCCGACCCCCAGTCTGCCGCAGTCCGTTTCCTCCCTCTCCCCTGAGACCTGGGCGCTTCGTTTTTTTTCACAGCGGGCGTTCAACCGTTTTCGCCAGGTCTCAGGCCTGGGATCATCACAGATCGATCGGGCTCTAAACCTCCTCGATCTTCCCGTATCCTCTTCCTCCCCCGTCTGATCCTCGTCCACCTTCTCCACCCCTCCTTCAGCGATCAGACAAAACGCACCACCTATGCGGACAGCACACAGCAGTGCACTCCACATCCCATAATCATCATCATCATCATCATCATCATCATCATCATCATCATCATCATCATCCTCATCATCATCAGCAGCAGCAGCATCATCAGCAGCATCGTCATCGTCATAATCATCACAACAACAATAACGCAACAACAACGACATCAGCAGCAGCAGCAACATCAGCATCAGCATCAGCATCACAATCAGCAGCAGCAGCATCAGCATCAGCATCATTAGCAGCAGCATCAACATCAGCATCAGTATCAGCATCAGCATCAGCATCGGCATCATCATCATCATCATCATCATCATCATCATCATCATCATCATCATCATCAGCATCAGCATCATCATAAGCAGCATCATCATCATCATCATCATCGACATCAGCATCATCATCATCATCATCATCATCATCAGCATCATCATCAGCATCATCATTATCATCATCAGCATCAGCAACATCATCATCATCATCATCATCATCATCATCAGCATCATCCTTATCATCAGCATCATCATCATCCTCACCACTATCATCATCATGAATATGACCACCATCATCATCATCATCATCAGCAGCAGCATCATAAGCAGCATCAGCATCAGCATCATCATCCTCCTCATCAGCATCAGCATCAGCATCATCATCATCATCATCACCACCAGCATCATCATCATCATCAACAGCAGCAGCATCAGCATCAGCATCATCATCATAAATCATCACATCATCCTCATCATCATCATCAGCATCATCATCATCATCATCATCATCATCGTCATCATCATCATCATCATCATCATCATCAACAGCAGCAGCAGCATTAGCATCAGCATCATAATCATAAATCATCATCATCATCATCATCATCATCATCATCATCATCATCATCATCATCATCATCATCATCATCATCATCATCATCATCATCATCATCATCATCATCATCCCCCCCCCTACCTCCTCCTCTCCCTCCCCTCCCTCCCCCTCTCCTCCTCCCAGAGCGGGAGGAGGAGGACCAGAGTAGACCAAAATTGCACAAGCGATGCCGCAATACACCCTCCCGTCCCGAATCCCCTCCTCGTACGCCCCATACGTGTCTCCCTCTCTTGCTGCCAGAGGGGCCCCCGTTCGAAAAAGGCCAGCACGGCTGGGCCTGCCCTGTTCTTTGGCGAGGAACCCCGCCTCTGAGAAGGCACTGCCTCGCATCCGCAGGGCGCGCAGCCAGGAGCGCGAACGTGGCCTTGTGCAGCCCAGCGAGGTGTCCAGCGAGGTCCCCGCCTCGGAAAAGGACCGCCTCCCCACCCGTGCGGCTAATGCACAGAAGTGCTCCCTAGTGGTCGTGAATAGGGGGCCACAAGCGAACCCTGCCCCTACCGCCCACGATTTCTGAGGGGGAAGGTGGGGTTCACTTCGCTCGGGAGCTCCCGAGCGAAGTGAACCCCACCCTCACCCTCAGAAATCGTGGGGGGTAGGGGTAGGGTTCGCTTGTGGTCCCCTAGTGAACTGGAAGGGAGTCTCGAGCGACAGCCCAGTTATGAAGAAAAGCCACGGTGGATCCGCGCGGCGCTGCCTGCGTCAAAGGCTCGGGCCCTGAAACTTCACGGAGGAAGCCCGGGCGAGAATTGAATTCTGAAACGAGCAGTCCTCCATCCTGCTAAATGTCGCCATCGAGTACGAATTTGCGCGACGTTGAGGCGAGAGCCCCACTTTGAACACGAACCACCCTACACCCGCGAAGCCAGTCCATTTTTTTGTTCAACGAAAGCGCGCGGCGCTAAAGCGTGAGCAACATTTCAAAACGACCTCCCCACCCCCCCCCCTTCCGTGAAATTGCGGAAAACGCTTTAAAAGGAATGCGCGCGGCGCAGGGGCAAGAGCTACGTTTGACAAACGACCCCCGGTTCCCTGCATCTGTCAAACTGCTGCAAACGTTGAAGACGAGTGCGGGCGGCGACAAAGCGAGTGCCACACCTTGAGAACGCCCCCCCTTCCATCCGTGTGCCTTGTGAGGAAACATGTACGACGAACGTGCGCGGCGCCACAACGAAGACCACATTTTGAAAACGCCCCCCCCGCCTGCATCCGTTGAACTGCTGCTCCCTTTCGAAACGAAAGGGCGCAGCCCCTCCGTGGGTGAAACTGCTGCAGGCTTCTAGAACGAATGTGCGCGGCGCGACAACGAAAGCCATACTTTGAGAAGCCCCCCCCATCCATCCGTGAAACTGTTGCATACGTTCACCAAAAAATGCGCGCGGCGCAGAGGCGAGAGCCACATTTTGAAAACGACCCACTCCTCCATCTGTGTAGCTGTTGGAGACTGTTCAAAGACGTGAGCGCCGCGCTAAGGCGAGAATCACGTTTTCAAAACAGCCCCCTCTGAATGCATGAAACTACTGCGATCTTTGAAAACGAATGTGCGCGGCGCTCTGACGAGAGCCACATGTTGAAAACGGCCCCCCATCCAAAACTGCTACAAATCTCAAGTTTCAGGCTCATGAATGGTCAGAAAGTCTCATGCGCAATGCCCGGCCCGCCCTCCCGCCACGTCTGGGGGTGCGACAGGGAGGAGGTGCTTGCAAGCAAACGGGATGGAGAAGAACAAGGATGGAGCAGGAGGAGAAGGGGGCGACCTCGTCGCGCAGCGCCGTTGTGGTGGCCTCGGCAGTGATGTTCCCCGTCTGGCGCGCCAGCTGGTGACGCAGCAGGGCCAGAACGACCTGGGCACGCGGGCCGAGTGGTAAGACGAAGCCAGTCCAGAACGCCCTGAGAGCGTTCCAGAATGCTCTGGAACGATGTTTCCCGGTCCTGGCCCTACCCGAGGTGGGGGCAGAAGGCATGCTTATCTCATCGAGGGGATGGGATGGAGAAGGAGCAGGAAGAGGAGGCGAGGCCGTCTTTGGGGTGCCGCTTCCCCTCGCCCGACACCCCGACACGCCCACCCAGCGCACACGACGCGCCCACGAAGCGCCCACGACCGCCCAGCAACCAGGCACCTGGCCAAACTCCGACACGCCCACACAGCGCACGGGGCGCCCACGACGGGCCACCAACCAGGCACCAGGCCAAACCCTGACGCACCCATCCAGTCACTTGCGAGCGCAAGCACTGTTTTGGGAACCGATCAATCAATCATGTTGACCAGGCAACGGTCCATTCAACCGGGGGGCAGTCCATCCAACCGGTGTGCGCAAGTCGACCAGGGGGCCAACAGACGAGGAAGGGGAGAGGGAGGGGGCGGCGACGGGGTACAGCTGACGGGGGACAGGGACAAGGAGGGGGAGGGGAAGGGGGGCCGGAGAGCGCCACGGGACACTGCCTCTTCCTCCCCGTCCTCCTGTCCCTGCTCCTCCTTCCCCTCCTCCTCCGTCTCCCCCCTCCTCCTCCCCCCTCCCCCTCCGCAGCGCCGGCTGGAGCAGCACAGGGAGGAGCAGGAAGAAGGGAGGAGGAGGAGGAGCAGAGCCTGGACCCACGACCTCCGAATTTTTGCTCGAGCCGCCGGCCGCCTGGACCTCTGGGCCCCTCCCCTGGGACTGGCGGCTCGTCCCTGAGCCGTTCCTGCTGACGGCCCCGGGGCCTGACAGTCGGCCCCCGGGGGTCGCCGCGAGTGGCAACAACAGCAGCGGAACTCGGCGGTGGACAAACCTCCCTTTAGTACACCTCCCCTCAGTGAAAACGGCCTGAGACCGAAACCGACGGACCTGGACCCGCAAAGATGACGGCTGCGACGCCCTCTCGCGAACCGAAAACGGCCAATTCCTTAATCGACGTGTCAGGGTAGGAGGTCTATCCACCTCCGAGGAGCTGAAGACGGCAGTGGCGCGACGCCTGTCCGACTCGCGCGTGCTCGGCGGAGGAGGAGCACGCGCCCCCCCGAGGCAGGGCCGCTCAGAAGCGGACCAGAAGATCGAATGGGCCATCGAAGCGCATCGACCGAATCGGCAGACAGCTGGCGGGCACATCGGAAGGCCTCGAGAGCGACAGCCGGCGGGCTCCGGATCGGCTCGACTCGGCAGCGCCGAAGCGGCTCCTCTCCGATGGGGGGGGGGCTTCCGCCCCGCGGCGGGACCAGCGAGCCCGTCACCGTGCTGATGCCGATGGCGACGCCCGCCTTCACCCACGTCTTCGTCGGGATGTGCCGGCCGAAGGAGGTGTCCTGGAACGGCGACGGAGCGGGGCCGCGGGGGGGCGTGGCGGCTCGGCCAGCGGGCCAGTTCGGAACCACGGCGCCGCCCGAGCCCCCCCCCCCCGGGGGGGCCGCAGGACGGGGAGCGGGGCGCCCCGGAGCAGCTGCGGCAGGCCTTGGGCCCTGCCTGCCTGGCAGCGGAGACACGACAGCAGGGGTCCTGCACCAGGGTCATCGAGAGAGGGAGCCCTCGGACAGCCGTGCGCGCCCAACCACGTACACGGGCGCGGCCCCCCATATCCGCGAAACCGGCCGCGTGATACGAACGTTCGCACAATGCGTGCTCTCGAAACCAACGTGGATTCACGTACGTGTGCGTCCTTCTTTCGCTCCTGACAAGAGCCCGCGGGAGGGCCCTCCTTGGAGCCCAGCCCAGACACTCCGACGCCAGCATGCAGCACGCTTTGGGCATGCGTGGCTTACTTGGACGTGCCCGCATGGCTCGGGTGCTGGCCACGGTGGACTCGAGAGAGGAGGACGAGGAGAAGGAAAAGGAGGAGGAGGAGGAGGAGGAGGGTGGGACTTTTTGCACTTCCAGCTCTGCCCGTGCCTTCAACTTAACTTGTGCCGCGCACCGCTGAGTCCGACTCTCGTCACCACAGAAGAACGCTACAGCCCCGCTGCACGAGTTCGCCAAATGCAATATGTATACATACATGCATGCATGCATGCATACATACATACATGCATGCACGCACGCGCGTACATACATACATACATACATACATACATACATACATACATACATACATACAGACAGACAGACAGACAGACAGACAAACAGACAGACAGACAGACAGACAGACAGACAGACATGCATACATACACACACATACATACATACATACATACATACATACATACATGCATGCATGCATACATACATACATATATATACATATATACATACATACATACATACATACATACATACATACATGCATGCATGCATGCATGCATGCATGCATGCATGCATACATACATACATATATATATATATATATACATATATACATACATACATACATACATACATACATACATACATACATGCGTGCATGCATGCATGCATGCATACAGACAGACAGACAGACATGCATACATACATACATACATACATACATACATACATACATACATACATGCATACATACTCACGCACATGCATGTATGCAAACATATATGCATACACGCACGCATGTGCATACATACATGCATACATATACACACATACATACATACATGCAGGCATACATGCATGCATGCATGCATGCATGCATACATACATATATATATATATATATACATATTCATACATACATACAGACAGAAAGACTGACAGGCAGACAGACAGATATACATACATGCATGCATACGTGCATATATACATACATACATGCATGCATGTGTGCATGCAAATACGCATACACACATACATACATACATACATACATACATACATACATGCATGCATGCATACATACTACATACATGCATGCATGCATGCATGCATGCATGCATGCATGCATACATCCATAAATGCATCCATACATACATACATACATACATGCATGCATGCATGCATGCATACAAACATACATTGCATGCATGCATGCATGCATGCATGCAGACAGACAGACAGACAGACAGACAGACAGACATTACATACATACTTACATACATACATACATGCATGCATGCATATATGAGCGGCCCTGACGCTTCTGGCATTGATCCCCTCGGCCCTCCTGTGCTGCTGATCCTGTGCTGCTGAGTTATCTCTCTCTGTCCGCGGCTGCGGGCGCGGTTCTGACGATTCTGGCACTGATTCCCTCGGCCCCCCGTGTTATTGGACTGTCGTCGTTCTCTGTCCACGACGCCGCGGGCGCGCCTCCCCCCTCGCCCGCGCCTCCCTCCGCCTCCCTCCCCCTTTACGTGTCCTCCTCGCCTCCCTCTGGCCTCGGAGAGTGCATCCGTGGACTAGAGAACAAACGACACCACCCCACCTACGGCCCTGCGGGACTCAGCATATACCAGGAGATCTGGCGTGGGTGTTGCGTGGTATGCGCTACGGCACCCGATGGGCCGCAGCGCAACATGGAGGGTCCTAGGTGGGGTGGTGTCTTTTGTTTGTTGGCCGAATCCGCCAAGTTTCCTCGGGTTTCGGGACCAGGCGTGTTCGCATACACACACACACACACTCAAATCAGGTTCCGTTTCGGGCTTCCTGCGGCCAGGATTCCCGCTCGGGGACTCGAAGCCTCGGCGCACGAGCAAAAAGGCGCGATCGACGACCTCCCTCCCCTCTTTCCTCGGCGAGGACCGTCATAGGCCTATGCAACCCTGGTGGGGACCATCACAGGCCATATCCCCCTGGCAGCTGCCATCATTGGAGGGGGGTACGGCGTCAGTTGCCATGTGGACCCTCGGCAAATGCAGGCGTCAATAAAGGAGGGTCCGAACGCACATCCCGTTTACCGTAAACCACTACACCAGTCAACCAATTACTCATATTCCTCCCTCCCTCCCTCTCTCCCTCCCTCCCTGCTCCCTCCTCCTCCTCCTCCTCCTCCTCCTCCTCCTCCTCCTCCTCCTCCTCCTCCTCCTCCTCTCCTCCTCCTCCTCCTCCTCCTCCTCCTCCTCCTCCTCCTCCTCCTCCTCCCTCCTCCTCTCTGCTCCTCCTCATCCTCGCCCATCTTCACCTCCTTCTCCTGCTCCTCCTCCTCCTCCTCCTCCTCCTCCTCCTCCTCCTCCTCCTCCTTATCCTCCTCCTCATCCTCATCCTCGCCCTCGTCCTCGTCCTCCTCCTCCTCCTCCTCCTCCTTCTCCTCCTCCTCGTCCTCATCCTACTCGCCCTCATCCTCCTCATCCTCTTCCTCCTCCTCTTCCTTCTCCTCCTCATCCTATGTCCTTACGTCCTATGAGGATGCCGGTCGCGTACATCCAACTCCTGCGTACGGATTCGTTGGGAACTACCTCAGGGCCAGGAGACCACTGGACCCAGGACCTCGAAAACCCTTGGGCGGAGCACGATGGATTCGAATGGGCCACTTTTAAGGACCCGAGGAATGAAGCTGTTCCTCGCGCCGCGGCCGCCTCCTCCTCGTCCTCCCCTCCTCCCCTATTCCTCCTCCTCCTCCTCCTCCTCCCTCCTCCGCATCCTTCTCCTCCTCCTCCTCCTCCTCCTCATCATCATCTTCCTCCTCTTCTTCCTCCTCCTCCACCTCCTCGTCTTCCTCCTGCATACTCCACCCTCCACCACCTCCTCATCCTCCCTCCTCCGCCTGATCGTCCTCCTCCTCTTCCTCCTACTCCTCCTCCTCCTCCTCCTCCTCCTCCTCCTCCTCCTCCTCCTCCTCCTCCTACGACTCCTCCGACTCCTCTTCCTATTGGTCATCATCATCATCATCATCATCATCATCATCATCATCATCATCATCATCATCATCATCATCATCATCATCATCATCACATCATCATCATCATCATCATCATCATCATCATCATCATCATCATCATCATCATCATCATCATCATCATCATCATCATCATCATCATCATCATCATCATCATCATCATCATCATCATCATCATCATCATCATCATCATCATCATCATCATCATCATCATCATCATCATCATCATCATCATCATCATCATCAATCATCATCATCATCATCATCATCATCATCATCATCATCATCATCATCATCATCCCCCTCCTGCTCCTCCTCCTCCTCCTCCTCCTCCTCCTCCTCACCCTCATCATCATCATCACCATCATCGTTCATCATCGTCATCATCATCATCAGCATCATCATCATCAACAACATCATCCTGGTCATCATCATCATCATCATCATCATCAGCATCATCAACATCATGATCATCATCATCATCATCATCATAATCATAATCCTGATCATCATCGTCATCATCATCATCATTATCATCAGCATCATCACCATTCATCATCATCATCATCATCATCAGCATCATCATCATCGTCATCATCATCGTCATCATCATCATCAGTATCATCATCAACAACAACCGCAACAACAACAACATCAGCAGCATCAGCAGCAGCATCAGTATCGGCATCAACATCAGCATCAGGATCAGCATCATCATCAGCAGCAGCATCATCATCATCTGCATCCGCATCATCATCATCAGTATCGTCGTGGGCGTCGTCATCATTATCACCATCATCATCATCATCAACAACACCAGCATCAGCATCAGCATAGACATCATCATGATCATCTGCACCACCATCATCACCATCGTCAGCATCATCATCAGCAGCAGCATCATACTCATCATCATAATCATCATTATCAGAATCGTCATCAGCATCACCATCTCCATCACATCATCAGAATTATCATGATCATGATCATCATCATCAGCATCAGCGTCAGCATCAGCATCATCTTGATCGTCGTCATCAGCATCAGCAACATCACCCTCAGCATGAGCATCAGCAGCATCAGCATCATCATCGTCAGCAGCATCATAATCGTCATCATCAGCATCATCATCAGCAGCATCATCATGACCATCAGCTTCATCATCACAATCACCACCACCACAGCCATCATCATCATTATCATCATCGTCATCATCATCAGCAGCATCAGCAGCTGCATCATCATCATCAGCAGCATCATCATCGGCATCGTCACCATTAGCATCATCATCAGCAGCAGCAGCAGCAGCATTAGTATCATCATTATTATCATAAGCATCTTCATGATCATCCTTAGCAACATTAGCAGCATCATTATCACCGTAGTAATGTTATTATCAGCATTCGCAGCATCATCAGCATAGTCACCGCCACCACCATCACCATCATCAGCATCACCAGCATCATCATCAGTATCAGAATCATCATGATCAGTATCGACATCATCATCTGCATCATCACCATTGTTAGCATAATCGTCATCGTCATCGTCAGCATTAGCATCATCAGCATCATCAGCATTGCGGTCATCATCATCATCATCAGCAGCAGCATCATCACCATCATCATCATCGTCGTCGTCATCTTCGTCAACATCATCATCAGCAGCATCATCATCAACTCCATCATCATCATCAGTCCTCCTCCTTCTCATCATCCTCCTCCTCGTCCTCCTCCTCATCCTCCTTCTCCTCCTACTCCTCGTCCTTCTCCTCATCCTTCTCCTCCTCCTCCTCCTCCTCATCCACACTCCTCCCCCACCCGCCTCCTCCACCCTCCTCCACTCTCCTCCTCCACTCTCCTCCTCCTCTTCCTCCTCCTCCTCCATTCTCCTCCTCCTCCTCCATCGGCACCCTCTTCCCCCTCCTCCTCCATCGGCACCCTCCTCTTCTCTCCGTGGCCCGGCGCGCGGTGCGCGCCTTCAGGGCCGCGACCAGCGCGGAGTGGTCCACCGCCTCCTCCAGGCGCCTCCGAGCAGCCGGGGTGGGGGAGCGCGCGCGCGGGAGCTCCCTTCTCCCTCCATCTGCGTACTCATCCCTTACCTCCCCCTCCTCCTCCTCCTCCTCCTACTCCACTATCCTCCTCCTCCTCCTCCTCCTCCTCCTCCTCCTCCTCCTCCTCCTGCTCCTCCTCCTCCTCGCCCTCCTCCTCACCCTCCTCCTACAATTTTTTTTCCTTATGAATAGCTTTTCCCTGTCGCTCCCCGAGGTCAGTTTTTAGGGCGGGCCGGATGTTTCGTCTGAGACTTCCTCACCATATATGATTATGAAGCTTGAAAAATGGCAACAGTGTCATAAATGGAGGAAGGGTCGTTTTCAAAACGTGGCTCTCGCCTTAGCGCCGCGCACATTCGTCTTATTAAAAAAATGCCAGGGCTTCACAGATTCAGGGCGGGTGGTTTTCAAAACGTGGCTCTCGCCGTAGCGCCGCGCACATTCGTTTTCAAAATCTGCAAGAGTTTCACGGATTGAGGGCGGTTCCTTTTCAAAATATGGCTCTCGCCTTAGCGCCGCGCACGTTCTTTTTCGAAACTTGCAAGAGTTTCACGGGTTGAGGGCGGGTGGTTTTCGAAACGTGGCTGTCGCATTAGCGCCGCGCAGATTCGTTTTTTAAAATTTGCAAGGGTTTCATGGATCCAGGGCGGTTCCTTTTCGAAATGCGGCTCTCGCCTTAGCGCCAGCGCACATTCGTTTTTTAATGTTGCAAGAGTTTCACGGATTGAGGGCGGGTGGTTTTCAAAACGTGGCTCTCGCCTCAGCGCCTCGCACATTCGTCTTACAAAGTTGCATAAAGTTCACGGATCCAGGGCGGTTCCTTTTCAAAATGTGGCCCTCGCCTTGGCGCCGCGCACGTTCGTGTTAGGAACTTGCAAGAGTTTCACGGATTCCCATGATCAACGCACCAGAAATGGCGTTTGAGAAGAATTCTGGATTATGCGGCTGCAAAAAGTATATTGATTTGCGGCGTTGAAGTCCCGAAAATGGCGCTCTGGCACGATTCCAGATCGTCAGGACGCAGCAGTCAGGTTGATCCGTGGCGTGGAAGTCCCGAGAACAATGTTTCGGTATGCTTCAAGGTAGTCGAACCGTTGTCTTCCAACGAGGAAGTTCCCCCATTGGAATGGAATCGTTGTAGCGGCCTATAAAGAACAGCTTGAAGGGAGGGTGAATTCAAACATCGTTGATGACTCTTGGGTTTACACTGGTCCTCCTCCTCCTCATCATCAGCATCATCATCAGCATCATCATCATCAGCCTCATCAGAATCAGCATCATCATCATCATCATCATCATCATCATCATCATCATCATCATCATCATCATCATCATCATCATCATCATCATTATGATCATCATTATCATCAGCATCATAATCATCAGCATCATCATCAGCAGCATCATCAGCATCATCATCGTCAGCATTATCATCATCATCATCATCATCAGATTCAGCATCAGCATCATCAGCATCATCATCCTTATCATCAGCATCATCAACCTCCTTCTCCTCATCCTCTTCCTTCTCCTCCTCCTTCTCCTTCTCATCATCATCATCGCTGTCGTCATCATCATCATCATCATCAGAATCGTCATCATCACCAGCATCAGAAGCAGCATCTTCATCAGCATGATCATCATCAGCAGCAGCAGCATCCTCATCGTCATCATCATCAGCATCATCAGAATCATCAGCATGATCATCATCAGCATCACCAGCAGCATTAGCGTCCTCCTCCTAATCGTCATCATCATCATACTCAGAATCATCGTCATTAGCCTCATCATCATCATCATCAT